CAGACGCAAACGACAAACTTTCACAACAACGCGTGTCTACAATTACTCAAAAAAGGGGGATGTGAAAAGAAATTGCTCAATTCCGGGGAAACTATGTTTCAATCGCAAAGGTCGGCACATTTCAGAACAGTGTATGTGGCGTACGTGTATGAGATGTGTATGTATTGTACGTGTAAGTAATGTATACCTAAGGCATGTACACATCACGTAGTTTGTAAAACACACGTGTATGTAACGTCTATATGACGCATTGTAGGTGAAGTATAACGAAAGTGTATGTGACGTACGTACGATGGTTAGCGTGAATACGTGTATGTGTGTAATGTCTATGTAATATGCGTGCATGTGGCTCATGTACACCAATACATGTGTAATAACTACATGTACGTTACACACACGTCACAACGGACACACCACATAAACTATATCGCGAACACACACAAACAATGGCATACTGTCCAAATCAGTAGTTAGATTATCGCAAACTAACAGCGGTTACGATAACGATTTTGCTAGCTGGCATCTCGTATTTGTTAGGTTCAACTACTGTTAGTTTTCGATAATCCGATTGCTGAATGATAATGTACCCTTTTTTACATGCGTGTACGTGATACAGTTAATGCAACGCACGTGTATATGATGTATGTGCGTTACGCGATTGATGTGACGTACGTTCATCGTTTACGTGACGTGGTGCTCGCGATGCGTGTGTGACGCACTCACTTATGATGCACGTGTACGTGACGTGCACATATCCTACGAGCATGGGACGGGCGTGTAACACGACGTACGTGTATGTTACGAACAGCGCACAACACGTGTGTGATGCGCGCGTACGTAAAGCATGTGCGCTAAGTACATGTGGCGTGCTTATACATGATACACATGCGCATGACGGCGTATTGGCTGTATGTTTATGTGATGTGAGTGTACTTGACGTACGTTTATGTCAGATTTTGTGCTGCGCTTGTGTACGTCGCGTACATGTATGCTGAGTATGTATGACGTACCCAACATGCATATGGTGACGTGCATGTATCATACATGATGTATATGGCGTGTGACGCACGTGTCACGAATTTCAATATCGCGAAATTCCAAATAAATAATAAAATAAATTTCTTGTTCAAATTGTAAATGAATGTTAACAACATTTACATAATTTTTCTCTCATGCTTAAAATCATGAGTCAGCTATCCAATCTATTAACAGAAATTTTCCCTTTGATGTTGAGATTTGTGCACATATGGTAACTGATTTGTAAAGGCTTTTATCCCATACAAAATCTTTTATACAATGGTGAGAAAGCTGTACATCAGATAAAATAATTTCTATGCAATCTTTTCTAAAAAAAACTTATATGTAAATTTCTCTTGCACCCGTGAGAATACTGGATATATAATGAGTGTTCCTCTTTACACACCCGATATATAAACCCTAAGAATCTCTAACAAGGTTAATGTTAATGAAAATTTTTCTCCACGTCGCAACTCAACGCTACTCAATACAATCCGGACTTATTTCCTCTCTACTTTTTCGAATCTTTACTTCAATATTTCTCCCGTTGTTCTATTATATTACTTTGAACTTCATTCTACTATAATCGGAATTACTTCTAACCTGGTTTTATTGTATTTGTTATTTGCACAATAATAAAGGATAACTATTATATTCCTCCAACACATAACCAATCGGTATTCAGTAAGTCACAATTTTTATGAAAAAATAATTGCTTTACTACTAACAAGAACAGATACCTCATCTTCTCACTCTTCAAAAATCTTCTACGACAGCACGTGCATGTAACGTATGAATATGACACTTGCATGTAACGTATGAGTATGCGACGTAACTGTGGCGTGTTCGTTGATGCAAGTGTAGATGCAACGTACAGTGAACGGCATGTCAGCAACACACGTGTATTTGACATAAACATATGTGACGTGCACGACGTACATTCGCGTGATATACTTGTGTGCAACACACGTGTGATGTGGTACGTGTACATAACATGTAAGTCATTTTGCATCGCACACGTGTTTGTCATATTTACATGCGTTCGCACATTTCATTCATGCACGCGTGGAGCACACACACGTCACTAACACGCTTTACGTGCGCGTCATAAACACGTAATTATCCTTGCGTCGCACACCGTCATGCACATGTATATCGTAAATACATGAGTCAAATAGATGTCGTGTGCCACATACAGGCTTTACATACACATACGCACACACGTATCACATACACGTATGTGACAAAATATTAACGTAGCATATATAATGCAAATCGTATGTCACATGCATATCACGTAAACGAATTTTCCCTACACACACATTAATAACGTATACGTGCGTCATATGCACATCATGTACGCGTATGTCATATATCACGCGCACGCATATCACGCTATTTAGAACGATTATTGATGGGAGGGATATAATTTTTAAAATTAAATAGCAGAGGGATATAATGCGTCGGGATGGACGTAGTTGAAGAAAGCGGTGAGTCGAGATGGGGAAGGATGATTCTCTCGGATGGAGATGCGACCCTTTAAATATAGCAGACGAGAGAAATTTACTATGTCAAAAATGGTTACACATACGTAACGTCTGTAGCGAAT